TTGCCCTCATCACTGGAAGTTATTTTCCAGTTACTGTTTATGTGCTCAGTAAGTTTCCTATCTCTTTGCTTAAAACCCTACTCTGTTTATCTCTCCATTTATTGTTTATCTCTCGCTGTTTATTTCTCTGCTTTTATTGTTTCCTCTATGTAATATCTTTTCATGTAAAATTTCTCTTGTACATTAATAAAGTGTGGACCTAGTATGTGTTTACTTATGTTTGCATATTATGCAATTTAAGATTTTATTTAATATTAAAATAGGCAATACTAGTTATGCTCAGTGGATAGTACTTGATATCTCAATAGTTCCGTTAATAGGAATCATATTGTTCTGTCTTAATTATTATAGAATTTTACAATCACTAGTTCAATACAACTACTACAGAATCATCAGAAGAATGTAGTTGTCCACTACCTCAATATAATGTTCATACACTTACACAAGAAAACAATTTTATTTTGGACATTATAGACAAAATAAATGATCCTGATGAAAAAAGAGCTATCATTACTTAATTTATCAATATTACAAAAAATAAATCAAAATCGTTACCTATTATAAAAAATCCAGATGAATATAATTTCTCTGCTATTATCAAACGAGTAAGTGATCAACACACTCTCAAAAAGAACCTACAATCTCTGATCTCAAAAAAGAGATTAAAGAAATAAAAACTGAAATAATACAATTAAAAGGAAGAATTCAAATGCTAGAATTGCAACAAATGTCTCAACAAGAATCTGAGACAGATGAAGTCGAATTCAATGACTTAATAAATGAAAACATAAAAGATACTCCTGAATCTTCAGAAGTACCAACAATACCAGTTCCTTCTGTCAATGTAATAAAGTTGTAGTGTAAGAACTATTTGTTCCTATAAGATCAAGGTCATTACTATCTATTTCTTCTGTATAAGATTCACTAGAAGTGGAGGAAGTAGAATTATAAGAAAGTATATTTTTTAATTTTAATTTTGTTGTATCGTCTAAATTTAATGATTCTATTTTCTTTTTTAATTTACATTGGTGTTTATAATGTCCTATTTTACCACACTTATAACATACTGGTAATTTTTTCCTTCCAATGATCTAGCTGACAGTCTTCTCGTATTAATAATCTTGAGAAAAATACATCTTTGTACCATTTATAATGAGATAGAGTAGGACAGCGTAAGTTAGATAGCAGATCTTCTGATCTTGCTGCTAGTAATGAGGTACTGCCTACAAAATGTAAAGTGATTGTATATATCAAAGTATTGACAGCATCACTTTCTGTATATATGACTTCTTGATTTTGTTCATTTCTCCCTGTCCATTGTCTTGTATTATTCAAAATTCTTTGTTTGGTATCATCATCTACATAAAAATCCCACCATCCCCTTAACCATCCTGTAAATCCATTAACTATTGCTTTAGCTACTTCTTGGTCAGGATTTCCTGCCATTTTATTAGCAGAGGCATACATGGTCATATGTCTCATGACATCTAGTATTTTCAATTCTGATAATCCATCAATTTGCCAATTGACTATTGATCTTCCTGAATAAGATACTGCCTGTTGTATTGAATCTTCTTCCATTTGAATATCAACAGGGGTAGGTCTTTTATGATAGGGTAAGGCTGTTATGGGTTTCCAATATTTTTCATAAGCTATTTTATTGATAGTGTCCATTAGAGGTGTAGTATCCATAAATGCTTTTTCTTGATTTTGGATTGTATCCTCTATAATGGGTTCTTCTTCTGTTAGCATCATTGTTTCATGCTCAGGTATTACAGCTTTTCCTTTATCAGAAGACTCAGGTATTTGAGAAGTAAGGGTTGATGGAGGAATATTGATTTGGGATGAAGGTATTCCTTTTATATCTAATTGGGAGAGTTTGGAAATTAATTGATCCATAAGAGATTTATTATTTTCTCCAATGTGAAATTTATTTTTATTTAACTCAGGAGGTGGTTTGAATAATACTGATTTAGGAATAGATGGTAGAATAGCTTTTTCTTTGGATACTATTCTTTCTATTCTTTCTGTTTGTTTTCCTATGGATTGTAGATAGAGATTTGTATAATTGTTTTGTTCCACAATATGAGGTATGTATTCCTGTTTTTTATTTATTTCTTTAGGTATAGCTTTATATGGTGTAGCTACGCTATCATAGAAAGATTGGGAATGTATAGGCTCATTCTTTTTTGGTATACTTGCTTTAAGTATAATACTTTTTTCAGGTGGATGTGTACTAGCTGTTGTAGTACCATCAGTACTTATATATGTTTTTTCTTCTATTGTTTGAATTTTATCAAATGAGGGAATAATAATATTCTTTTCTAAACACATATCTTTTAACCATAACTTCCAGTGATGAGGGCAGTATGAAGGTAAATCTTGGATATTACAATCACACATAAGTAATAAAGCAAGGTAAGAGAGAACCTGTTTGAGCTATGAGGGCGAAGATAGCTGCAGAACTATTGCTGTGAGAGTAATGGTGCAGAGGTTGAGTTTTCAGGCCTGGAGGATGAGGTTAAAAGAAATCTGGAAGTTTGCAGAGGTCTGGAAGGTTGCAGGGGTCTGAAAGGTTGCAAAGGTTCAGAGGTTGCAGAGGTTCAGAGGTTTAGAGGTTTAGAGGTTGCAGAGGTTCAGAGGTTTAGAGGTTGCAGAGGTTTAGAGGGTGCAGAGGCTCAGAGGTTGAAGAGGCTCAGAGGTTGAAGAGGCTCAGAGGTTGAAGAGGCTCAGAGGTTGAAGATAAGAGAGGATATGGGAAGAGTGAGGCCCTGCCTCGAAGAAGAGGAGGAGCTTCCCATTTATAGTGGAGTCCCGAAAGGAATCTCTTGGGGAGATAAAATGGACAGGTTGGCCGGATATCGTCGGTAGAAAGTGACAAAAGAGGTCGACAGAAGGTGACAAAAGAGAGAGATACTTTGTCGGCAGAAGGTGACAAAAGAGGGAGAGTGGTGGACCAGTAAGAAAACAAAAAAGAAATAATGGAGGTTCTAGAAGATAAGAGCGAGAGCATAAGGAGATGCTCTTTTAACAAAAAGACAAAAGAGCGAGAGCATAAGGAGATGCTCTTTGAACAAAAAGACAAAAACTAAAAGTAAAAGCATCTATGCACAGTGGCACTTTTGGCCTTATTACAATTGGAGTACAGTGTTTGCTGTCGGTAGTGGGACCCTTGTTTGTCCCATATAGTATCTTGATATCTTGTCTTTTATTGCTTCTCTGGATGGTGATGTCATGGATGATGAAGTTATGATCTCTGACTGAATTCTTCAGGATCATCCTCTTCCGGATCTGTTTCTTCTGGGTCTGTCTCTTCTGGATCCTTTTGACTGAGTTGGAGGTACCTATTTGTGTGGAGTGGAGAAGATTGGACTGTTTCTTCGGAAGATGTGGGTTTTCTTCCGGCTTCAGCAAAAATTTCTTTCATTTGTTTCTCCAGTTCTTCTTTGGAGGCATGTGGGTTGGTTTGAAGCATATTTCGAAGGTAAGTTGGAAAATCAAAAGAGGTGTTTGGAGTATTTGGGTTTTCCTGGTATTTAGGTGCTTTGGGTGGTATTCTTTTTGGAGTGGCTTTGGTGAGATCCATTTGGAAGATATCCCACCATTTAACATATATGGTTTTTCATAAACGAGGGATGTATGTATAATCATTTGTGGTATTGGGTGATATGGTATAATCCCATTTCATAATCCAAGGGATTTGATACAAGGCCATAAAGTAAAGGTGAGTGTCAACTGAATTATCAATATTATTGTATTGTATAAACTGATCCTGCAACTCCTTAAAAGCAGGAGGTAAAATCATAGCAGTTGATCCCCACACAAAATACCAGTTTTGAAACCAAGTGGGGAACCTTTCAAAAATAGGTAGCCGGAACTGTAAATACCAGCTATGTGTATTGTTAGGATTTTGATAATAGAAAAATTTGTGCCAACCCTCTATGTACTCAGCGTTTTTAAAATATTTATAAGAAAACTCTGGATTTTGCAATTTCTTTCCTTGTGCGGGATTGGAACCCCACTCAGTATATGAAAGAAGTTTCTTTATCTGGACTTTTGAATAGGCTATTATTCGGGTATTCTGTTGAAAGTAGTGGACAACAGAGATGGACCCTGTTTCCATTAGAATGGCTTCATAATACTCTCGAGTCTTAACCCCATTGATAGGATTAAGATGATTAAGTAGGTATAATGGTGCAAGCTTGCTTGGATCCATGTGAACTTGGTGTTCATCAATGGTAATGTCTATTAAAAAGGCTCTTTCAATATATTCGGATCGTGGAATATTGGTAGGAGGAATGGATTTGGACTGAGCTGGTGAGAATGTAGGAGTTGAAGTTCGTGCTTCTGGGTAAGTGATTTGATGGATTGGGGATTGAGATGGTGAGCGAATATTCAAGGGTGAAGGTTCCCCTTCATATGGAACTAAAGAATGCATGGGTTGTTTTCCCCGGCGAGTATTGCCTCGGGAGCCCATATTTAAGGATGAAAGATCCTTATCAGATTGATTTTCTTGGAATAATTGAAGTGCAAGTGAAAGTGGTGATTCGTCGTTGGCGTCAGTGTTGCCCCTCCTGCAAAAATTCACGGGTCAGAAAATCGGGTAAAGAGTTAGAAGACCCGGGAAGATGTTCAATAGAGAAATCAAAGGCAGAGAGAATAGCCTGCCAGCGGGCAAATATTTGTTTAGAAATCAAATTTTTTACATCTTTTTGCAGAATATCTTTGGCGGCTTTGCAATCAGTTCGTATTAGAAGTGGAACTGTGCAAACAGTTACAACTGAAGAATTTGTGATACTGTTCTTTTCACTCTATAAGATTAAGATTAAGAGACACTTTCCCATAAGATACTAAGTGAAATTAACCACCAAGAAAGTTGGTCCGAGAGTTAAGACAAGAGACAAGTGAAAGCCGATGCGAAAAGTACCGCCAAGGCCAAGAGAGCCGCTTAGGGAAAAAAGCTAAGGCCACTGAATGTCCAGATTGTCATTATCCGCAACCTACGGATGGCTAATCTCATAAAGAATCTTACTGGTAAAACTGTATCTTCATCTTCAAAACTTAGAGTAAAGAATAAAGAACAAATTATTATAAATGATATTGAGGAAACTATTCAAAATTGGAATATTCCTAAGGTACCAATTCATGATGTTTATAATAAAGGATCATTCAAACTTAAGATGGGATATGCCATCAAGACTGTAGAAGAAAGTCTATCAGTAACACAAAACCAAGAAGACTTTCACCTACTTTAAAAAAAAGTAATAGAAAAACATAAAGAAAATAATTATAAATATTTACACATTGGCCTCATCCAAATAGCCGTGAAACCTTTAACCCGTTTAGGGTTAAACATTTCTGTGCTTGTATGCCTAAGAGATACAAGACACAATATATTCACAGACTCTCTACTAGGCATGGTTGAATCCAGTCTCTGTAGTGGTCCAATATATTTTAACTGTTTTCCTAATTTTTCTGTTTCTTTAACCGACCCGAATATCTTAGACATATTGACAATAAATCTAAAAACACATGGATTTAATATGGTCCATGGTTCACAAAATCTGGCTATAGTCTATAGAATATATTATAAGGTCATGAATACATTAAGTCCTAATACCTTAAAACTTGATAAAAAAGATCAAACAATCTTATTCCAAACAAATATAGAAAAATCAAATATGATTGTTCCAAAAACCATAAAATGGTCAGATATTATATTACCCCAATCATGGGCATTACAAAATGCCAACCAACCACAAGAAATTCCTCAACATCATATTCCTAACCAAATAATAGAACATACAGATGGTAATGTAGAAATTCAATTTCAAAATACACTTCACAATTTGCAAGTGCAGGATGATATTAATATCAATAGGAAGAGAAATAGTAAACAAAGCATACCAAGTAGAAAATCATATTCACACAACCCAAATGTTATCATATTACCACCTCCTAAACAACCTTCTTCATCCCATTCAGACATACAATTTCAAAGAACACATAGGACCAGGGATAATATTGTAATTCCAACATATACATCTCAAACTCATCCCACAACTTCTAATACTGAACCCAGTATAGAAGAATTACAAGACTTCCAAGTCTGTACACTACAGATAGAGGATGATATTAATGATAATATTCAATATTCAGAAGAATATATAGCAGCCTATCTAGCAGCCAAGCTAGAAAGAAAACAAAGAAAAATAAATAAGGATTTTCTCAAAAAAGATTATTTATCAGAAGAAAATAAAAATATAAGAGAATGGTATTTAAAAAGATTTCAACCACCCAGATTGATAGAATTACTACATAAAAAATATTCTTTATAGTTGTAGTTAAAGCATTCGCTGCATGACAACACACACATGCACAGCGTGTAGAAAGGAGGAGGGAAGGTTTCGGTGGGGGCGGAAAGAAGAGGGGGGGGGGGGGGGGGGAGGGAAAGTGTAGGGGGAGAGGGAGACTTCTATTAATAATTATTGGTTGTTGAGTCCCTGTGAGATTTGACAGAGTGGAAGAAATCAATGTAATTCATACAAGGAAAGTCACTCCAGAAAACAATATATCTCTTATGGTACTGGAATTATTCATGTTTATGTCTGTACATCCATGCATAAGTTCATTGTAACAAATGGTGGGCAACAACCTTATTGGCCATTTGCTGGTACCTTAAGCCTGGCCACCATTTCTAGTTGTTGCAGAAGATGAGTCCTCCTTACCTTTTGCTTTATAATCGTAACGGCAACCATGTCGGCGTGGCTTATCAGGTTCCTCTGGATCTGAATCAGACTCCAAGAACATGGCTCTCAAGCACCTCCTCCTAATCCTCGGTGTTTTCAATAATGGATTCTCCTCATTCTCAGTTATACTTTTATCAGTCTTCCTCACAGGGTAATTATCCTCTTGTATTGCTTCTTCAGCATTGTTAAAAATAAACATGTGAACTCCTGGATTCTCGTTATTGCATGAACTGTTATAGAGTACTGAATTGTTGATGCTCTGTATGTTATTGTTCACATAATTGGCTAAAGGTGTCCCCCCACCCACTGGTGTGTACCTTTCTTCAAGGTCCTTCTGCTTGTTATTTTCATAGAGATTGGCATCTTCCTCATCCTTGTCTAGTTTGTATCCCCTATATATGGGTACCCTATTGTCTTTGCTTCCCAGGTCCATAGATGCACCTCTGTTCTCGCCAGCTAGTGTTAGGACCCTTACTCCAATATCATCTAGAGCTTGTCTCTGTTGTGCTTCCATTGATTTGCGAGTGAGCCTCGAAACATCTTCTTTGATGTTTCTTTGAAGGCCTTGGGCTGTGCTATCCCTTCTGTTCTGACACACTGGTGTTACATTTCGCCCCTCTTTGCCACTTGGAAAGCTCGCAGTGCTTCTTAATCTTGAACTATCTTCTCTTGGAGCCTGCTTTGATTCCTCCTCCTTGGCCTCTGGCTGCACCTCTTTTTGGGCTTCAGCTGCTAGTTTTGACTCCTTGTTTGGGTCAAGTCTCTCTCTTCTGGTGTTGTCTAACTGGGTTTCAGGTGTTTTCTCTCTCTCTTTGGGTGTATTTTTCTCATGAACAATAGCTGGTTGCAGAGCTGCTTCACCAGACTTAGAGGCTGCCTCATTGCCTGCCTGTTCTGTGGGCTTTGGTTCAGGCTTTTCCTCTTTCTTGGGTTCGACCACTCGTTGTGACTCCATGTTTTCTTCTTTCAAGAGTCTCTCTTCCTCGCTATCATCAAACTTAGTCCCATGTCTTTTCTCACTTCTGGAATCATCCCTATCACTAACAATTTTTTGTTGGCCAGCCACTTCAGGGGTCTGGGAGGCTGCTGTATCAGGTGCCTGTTGTGTGGACTTGGCCTCAGCCTGAGGCTTGGGCTCAGTCATGGACTTCAACTCAAGCTCACTTGTAGGCTTGGTCTCATTCTTTTTATCTTGGGGTTGGTGATCATCTTGGGGCCTAGACTGGGGCTTTGGTGCACCAAGCTGATGTTCAGGCATGGATGTGGGCTGGGTCTCTGGCTTGCTAGGCCCAGGCTTGGGCACAGGCTCAGCTTGAGGCTTAGGTTGGGGTGCACTTACCTTCGGCTCAGCCTGAGATATGGGTGTGGGCTCCTCACCAAGCTGAGGATGAGTTGGTTCTGTCTCTGGCTTTGAGGCTTCTTGTAGTTTTGACCCAGATGCAGGTTCAAGTTGGGGCTTTTGCGGGCTGGAACTAGATGGTTGTTTGGTCTGTGGGGCAGTAGGCCTAGATGTAGTGGGTGGGGCTTGTGTTTCTGTGCTCCTAGTTGGGGTGGGCTGGGTTGGTGGGGTAGAACCAGATGGTTGTTGGGTTTGTGAGGATGTGGGCGTAGGAGTGGGCTGGGCTTGTGGGCTAGATTTAGATGGTTGTTCGGTTTGTGCGGTTGTCGGCGTTGTAGGAGTGGGCTGGGTTTGTGGGCTAGATCTAGATGGTTGTTGGGTTTGTGGGGGTGGCGGCGGAGTTGGAGGGGGCTGGGTTTGTGAGCTAGACCTAGATGGTTGTCTGGTTTGTGGGGCTTGGGGTCTGGGAGGGCTGGGCTTGTCTTTTGAACTTGTTCTAGATGGTTGAGTCTGAGGGGCGGGCTTGTCTTTAGTGCTTGTTCTAGGTGGTTGAGTCTGAGGGGTGGGCTGGGTTTGTGGTGCATTAGGCTTGGAAGGGGTGCGTTGGGCTTGTGGGCTAGGCCTAGATGGTTGTGGGGTTTGTGGGGCTGAGGGCCTTGAAGTGGTGGGCAGGGCTTCCGTGCTAGTCTTAGGTTGTTGGGTTTGTGGGGCTATGGGCCTAGATGGTTGTTGAGTTTGAGAGGGTGCACTAGTTGGTTTTTGGGTTTGAGGGCTCTTAGATGGTTGTTGGGGCTGAGGGGTTGAACCTCTAGTTGGGGTAGGCTGCCTTTGAGGCGTTCCTTGTGGGCCTTGGGCTGGTCTGTTCGACTGAGTGAGCCTCGAGAGCCAACCACGCTCGTTGAAGTTGAACATGTTCCTTTGGAGGGGTGGTCTCTTGGACAATTGTGGTGTAGTTTGGAGGTGTTTTCTTTTGGGATGGTAGTTTATTGGACAATGGTTGAGAGGAAGAAACTAAATGATGGTGTCCTTTCAAGAGAAACAGAGGGATTGTGAATGATGGTGACAATGGGTTCTGGTGATGAGAGGCAGTTTTATAAGGTTGGTGGTTGTGGGGTGAGTTTTACTTGGGTAGGGAAGGGGATGCATCGTATTCTTTGAGTAAGAGGAGGATGGCTGGCTGACTTTGGAGCTCTCAAGTTTGGTATCGTAGTTGGTCGCTTTAGGATGAGGCGTTTGCAAGCCTTACTGGAGCCTTTATTTTCTAGAGAACTTAGATTCTTTACTTTCTCAACACAAATGCAAACACAAGGATAGATAATTGCATTATCAATATCTTATACAGCCAAGAGGGAGAAAGAAATGGACCATGCATTATTTAGCAAGATATCGAATTTCTCCTAAAGATTAATTGAAAAGTTGGAAGCAGGACAGAACTAACATAGAACTCAAGTGAGTCAGGTGGGCCCACTGTACGGGATTGTTGATATGCCTAATGCCCCATGTTAAATTATGATCATTTTCACAGATGTGGAGTAACGTTAAAAGGGGGAGTTCTATGGGACTTACTTCCTCTATTTCTGCAAAACTTCTGCCGCAAAAACAGTATCTGTGACATGAGTCTTGAAATGTTGGTGTGGATGTTTGAAATTCAAATAAAGGAGGTTTATGGCTATTACATGCGTAAACTGCTGTTCAGGTTTACGGTGTGATTACTTGCGTGGAAATGGAAATACAAGGAGGAAAAGTATCCTGTCCACATGATGTTGAAGGGTGGAAAGGTACACAAGAACCTTTTTAATGGTTGAGATTTCAGTTTCACAAGGGCAGGCATATCTAATGGCTAAAAATTATTTTCAGTGTTTTATTTTTTTATTTTTTATTTAAATAAGATATTTCTCTAAATTTTGAATTGTAGGTTCATTCTTACAAAAATAATTAAATAAAAAACAATTACAAAATATTTTAAATAAAAGAATGACTTAAGTACCCCTAAGTTTATTTTGAGCAATATTTTTATTTAAAATATGTTTTTATTTTTTATTCAATTCTAATTATAAAAATAAAACTAAAATCCAAATTGCATGTCAATATTATTTTTAATTTTTTAATTAAAAATAAAAGGCGAAACTTGTTTTTGACACTTAGATGAGGGAGGGTGCTTGATCACCCTTTTAAGCGTCCACAACTTGTGGATGCAATACCATCCCATATAAGAATGAAAAAAATTAAAGGCTCAAGTCATTCTCTAATCAAAGCACAAGCCGTTGGTTCGGAACCACTGACCTTCTCTAATCATCCACCAAAAGTTAGTAACAGGAAATTGTAATGGAGTCGTGACATCGAAATTGAGTGAAAATTCTAATATAGAAGTTCATGACATCGAAATTGAGTGAACAAGCCTGCCCCTAGGGAAAAGTTTAATTCCGTTACTGCAGGCTGCCAATCGCATTTGGACTTGTTAAATACTTAAGAATTTCCCAAGTATTTTTATTTCCCTGTTCATTTAGAGGCATTGGCCTGTAGATAGAGCGTATGATAAGGTGGAAATAGAGTTTACAACATGGGCTATCCGCTTTCTATTGCTTATATGGGTACAGTTTTCTTATTTTGAATTAGCAACTATCATCTGTATAAATAAAAATAGAGAGTATTTTATCAAAATACAGCTTACCTTATTTAACTATTTAACTTACCATTTTACACATGGTCAACTGTGCCAACTTATGATCGTGTGTACGTTAATGGGCTTTTATGAAATGGGTAAAAATGTGAAATAATTCATCTTTTATATACATTTTGATAAATTTCCAATCAATAATATGTTGTAAGAATCAAAAGAAGAATAATAAAATTATCTTTTGTGCATTGCATGTCGAGGAGGTTTCCCCCTCGAAGTAGGTTAAGTTGAAAGTTTCCTTGTAGTAGGCTATTTGTCTTTTCACTGTGTTATCTAAGAACAATGTTTAGAATTTCTCTAATCAATCAGGGATTGTGTACAATGAGACCATTTACTTTTGAAACAGGGTGGTCATAATTACTTACAACCATTCGATGTAAAATTTGATAACTTAGATGTGTCACATAGCTTAGTTCGAGAAATATTTTTGAAAGTTTGAGTTTGGTCAATGGAATAAATGTAGCCACCCAATTTTACATCCAATGATCAAGATTAATTGTGATATGAAAAGTAAATAGTATCATCCTATACTTTTCCAATCAATAATCTTAACTGGCATCAGAGCGAAGAGATTCTAAGTTAGCCGATAGTTTTCCAACTACAGCTCTTTAGAAGTATTGAAAGGAAGTCGAAGCAAATCAGGACGACATGTGGGAATTATGAGAACCATGTTAAACTTTCACAGGAACAAGCTTAGGCGATTCAAGCTATACGGCTAATGACCACAACAGTGAACTTTAAAGTAAAAACAAAAATTGACATCTCAAATGGGTGGGGTTGGGTCCAGGTTGGCCCCCAATCTGGATACGACTCGACTAGGCCCAAAGTAGACCAAGACTTAGGTCAAATCCAAGTCAATTGCACCTGACCAACTAGGTCGGGTTGGGTCTTGGTCTATAAATAAAAAAATTACAAAAAATTATATTTTATCTTATATAGTTAGCATAAAAATATATACCGGGTAGGCCAGGTCGTGTTGATCTTGACCCATACTTGACCCAACCATAGTTAGCATGTGGGGAATATCAATATATCAGCTCACCATAAATCGGAAATAAATCGTTTTTATTTTGAAAAGTCGGATGAAAAAATTGGGTAAAAAATATAGATCGACAAAAGTACTTTATGTAAAAATATCGCAAATATATTGGACTAGGCTCAAAAAATCGAAGTGAAAAAAAGGATTAGTTTAAAAAATTTGAAATTTTAAAATTCTGAAAAAATAAAAAATAGTTTAATGAAAGCATTCAAAGTAAATATGTGTTTAATTTGCATTATACACAATTCAAATAAAATTAAGTAGAAATAAAAAAAATAAAATAATAAAGTTGATTGTAAATACACCATATTGGTTACCCAAAAAAAAATGGACCATATTTATATTAACTATATTAACACCATATTTACGTCAGGAAAGTCAACAACTGAAGTTATTTTTCTACTTAGGCAACCAATTGAGAAGTTTAGGGTGAAGGGAAAATACTTCCACATGATCTTTATTGACCTACATAAAGCTTATGGTAGAATACCTCGAGATTTGATTTGGAAGATGTTAGAAACTAAAGGAGTCTCCAGATACTATATCGACTTGGTGAGAGATATGTACAATAGAACGTTAACTAGTGTGCGAACAACTAGTGGAGAGACAAGTGAGTTTTCAATGACAATAGGTTGAAGCATTGAGCTCGTACATCTTTGTTTGAGTTATGGACAACTTAACAAGGCACCTATAGGATGAGGTACCGTTATGTGTGTTGTTCGCAAATGACTAGTTTTGATCAATAAAATAAAAAACGATGTCAATATAAAATTAGAACTTTGGAAGGATGCTCTAGGATCAAAAGGTTTTAAAATTAGCTAGACTAAGTCAGAGTATATGGAATGCAAATTTAGTAATAATAAGAGCAAAGACGAAGAAGTAGTTAAGAAAGTACAAAAAAGACTGTACTTTCGATATGTTAGATTGATAATCTAGGAAAATGGAGAGATTAAGGAAGATGTCGCACATAGAATTAGAGTTGGATGAACGAAGTAGAGATATGCAACTGGAATTTTATGTGATCGCTACATATCAATGAAGCTGAAAGATAAGTTCTATAGAACAACTATGAGATCAAAAATAATATACCCATAAAATGAGTGTAACAGAGATGATGATGTTAAGATGGATGAATGACATGACACGAAGGGATAGAATCCAAAATGAATCCATTCGGAAAAGTTTATGTGTGGAACCAATAGGCGATAAAATGAGTGAGAGAGTAGACTTAGATGGGCTAATCATGTGTGGTGTCTATCTAATACAACACCTATTAAGAGGTGCGAGTTAGTTCAAGTGGAAGGATTGAAAAGGCCAAAAAATAAACCCAAAATAGCTTAGTTGGAAGTAGTCCGAAAAAATATAAAGATTTATGGCCTCACTTAATGTATGACTTTAAATAGAGTGGAATGACATATCATGATTTATATAGCCGACCCCAATTAATTAAAAAATAACTATGATGGTGATGCTAACACCTTAATCATTAAACTAACTATGCTAACTATGTACTACACGTAGTATGCTAACCATAGACCATATTTAGAAAGAGAATATGGGAGAAAGGGTGACCATTAGTTATAGTGGAGTGAGGGGAGAAAGAAAAGTGGAGAATATGGGAGAAAGGGTGACCATTAGTTATAGTGGACTGAGGGGAGAAAGAAAAGTGGACGCAGATAAAGAAATGCAGAGAGAGAGAGAGAGAGAGAGAGAGAGAGGAGGGAGTGGC